CCGGACTTGGGACCGGGCACGACCCAGATCGGCATCTGTCCTAATCGTGACCAGAGAGACACTTGACTGAAAGGCATCCGTGCACGGCTCTCTGATCCAGAAGAGGGCCTGAGTGGACGGCGCAGGCAAGAGCGCAGGCGCCCAAAGTTGGGGCCGCCAATACACACGTACTGGCAATCAATCCATGGAATGTAGGTCAATCTCCGGATAGACTGCCCGCGGAAGCGCTTCCACAGAGCTGCGGGCCTGAACGGCTCCCTGGGAGGGGCCGAAGATCGAGAGCATCATGTTTTCTCTGAGCGTTGGCCTCCGCAATAGCGACCAGTCGATCATACCTGTTAAGTGGAAGCGACCTCCTTCGGGGCTTCTTTCGAGGTCCCGCACGCAATAGCGCAGCACACTCTGCCGGGGTGTCTGAGGTGCAATCCATACCGGTTGAGGAGGGCCCAGTTGGTGTCCTGTGGCTTGGTGCTGCTGAACCACTTTTCCGCCTCCTTCCACGTAAGGTGCTCTGGTTTAACCCAGCCTCTCTGCTGGAATGCGGCCTGTACGGCCGATTTGCGTTCCTTGTTGCGGGTCCGCTGTTCCCCGCGGCCTTCTGGCCATCTGCTTTGCCTGTCGGCTCTGCCATACTGCGATGGCTCCCCCTTGTTGGTTGGAGCTAGCTGCCGCGGTGGACGCAGGTGTGTGTGTGTGGGTCCCCCAACCCCCAACTGAGGCCTGGCTCGTTGGAACCTGCTGTGGTTGGGCGTTGGGTGGATGGGTCCTGGTCGCTGCTGCGCGCCTGGTGTGTTGCCTTGTGGCGGTGGGTCCCGCGTTCGCCGTCCTGCCGGTGTTGTGGCATGCTGCTGCTGATTTGCGTGGTGGGTCCTCGCGGGCGACTGCGAGTGCAACTGGCCGGCGGTCTGTGGCGGTGGATCGTGAGCTTGGTCATCTTGTGGTGGTGGTTGTGGTCCACTTGCTTGTGCTTCGTCATGTGCATGGCCCTGCTCTTGCTGCGTTGCAGCTTGTGGCTCGGCAGGTGCCCCCGCCTGGTGCAGGTGCGCTGGTGGTGGTTGTGGTTCCTGTTGTCCGGTCGCTGTGGCGTGTTGCTCTCCGTCCTGGTCTTGTCCTTGTTGGACTGCCGTCTGCCTCTCTGCTAGTGGTGCTTCGTCGTGGGGGTGTGTTGGTTGTGGCTGTTGCGAGGGCTGTTGCGGTGGTGGCTGCTGCCTGCCTGAGCGTCTCGCTCTGCTGCTGACATCAGTGATGACTGGTCCCTGTGGTCTGGTTTGCTGGGGCGGTGGTTGTGTTGGTGGTGGTTGGGCTGCATTCTGCCTGGGCTGGTTCGGCAGTCGGGCACGGGCCGACATGGTGCCGTTGTGGGCTGCCCTGGTGGGCCGGTCTGGTGGCTGGGGCATCTTGTTCCGCCTCCTCGGCCTCTTCTTCCTCTTCCGCTGCCGCTGCTCGCAGAGGCTCGCACTGGGGCTTGCTGCTGTAGTGGTGCCTGAGTCTGTGGGTGTTGTTGTGGTTGTGTGTGGGAGTGCTGAGCTGGAGAGGCCGTGGCTGTCGTGGCGGAGATGGTGCCTGTCGAAAGGACCGGGTCGCCGTCCAGTTTGTCCAGTGTGGCTCGTAGTTGCGACCACAGATAAGGTGGATCGTTGTTCGTGGTGTGTGGGCCTGCACTGTGTTGCGGGGGGGACCCCGGTGGCTGCTTCGTAACTGGGGTTTGGGTGGCGTTGCCTTGGCTTGGCGGACCTCCCGTCGGGCGCTTGGGGGGTTCCTTGGCAGGCGGCTTGGTGCTGGTTGGTGGGGTAGGCTGCCTGATGCGGGCTGAGCGGAGGTGCTTTGTACACTGCAGGTTTTAGTGGGGGCGGTTGGATGGGAGGAGCCTTCTTGGCGACTCTGTCCATGGTGGCAGGGGGGGGGTCAGTGGAAGAAGACGCTGGTTCGTTTGGTGGCTGTGGCCGGTGGTCGTGGAGGTAGACGATCGTTGTCGTCGTGGCGATGTTCAGTGCTTTCAGTGAGGCTGGCCCAGATTGCTGCTTGTGTAGCTGGTGCTTCGTCTTCCTCCGGCGGAGCGAGGGGGAGCTCGTCGTCATCCGAGTCCAGAGGTGGAGCTGCTACTTCCAGTGGTGTCTCCGGCTGTTGTGGACCTGCGGTTGCTGTTGCTGTTGGTTGGTTGGTCGCCTCGGCGTGCTGGCTCTCCCCGTGAGTGCTGGCTGCTGCTTGGTGTTCGTATGTCTGCATGGGGGGGCCATGGTGTGTCCCAGGGGTCCGTTGCTGGGTCATAAGGCGGTGCATAGCGGGGCCGGCCTAGGGTCCAGTCTGCCTGTGGCTCCCGGGCGAGGGGCTCGTGGTAGGGGATGCGGTGGTAGTGGTGGTGAAAGTGTCGTCTGGTGCCTCGTCGGGCTGCTGCTGCGTTGGCGCTCCGGTGGTCGTCGTTGTTGGTGATGCTGCGGGTGACCCCGATGTGCTCGTAGATGATTGTGCTTCGGTGGTGGTGGTGAAGGTTGTGGTGGGATGTGGGTCCGCATCTGTGGAGTGGTAGTCCTTACTGTGCTCTTTTGTAGCTGAGGCTTCGCCTTCGTCGGGCGTAGCCGGTCTGCCCTCCCCCAACGAGGACTCCGATGATCTTGCGGTTGATCGTGTAATTGGGGGGGGAGCTGGGCGTCGTGGTAGAGGTCGATGTCGTCCCAGCTAGGGCTCACCGGCCTTGCTCCTTCAAGCCGCGCTCTTGGCTCGTGTCCGGCGGAACGTGCTGTCGAGGGGCTCCCGGGTTTCGTGGTAGAGGTCGTTGTAGGTGCTTTCGGTCCTGCCGGTTCGATGTGGGTGCTGCTCCGTGAGAGCTCTGGCGATCTTGCGGAGGATCGTGTAACCGGCGCAGTCCAGGGCGTCGTGGTAGCGGTCGGCATAGTTCCCGTTGGTGCGTTGGGGCTCGACTCCCCTGTCTCGGTGGAACTCTCAGCCGGCGAACTTCCGGAGGATCGTTGCAGTCGGCTCCCGGGCGTAGTAGGAGGTGTTGTGCTCCCCGAATCACCGCTGCTGTGGCTGAGCCTTCGGCTGTGGTCTGGCTTCCCAAGGATCTCGTAGCACGGGGAGTCCCCGAGGCCGTGGCGGAAGGTGCTGGAGGTTCTTGCGGCGCCTCCATTTCCCCCGCAGTGATCCCCTCATCCTCGGTAGTGGTAGCTCTCGCGAAGCTTCCCGTTCTTGCGGCTGGTCGGGCTCTCGAGGGAGTCCTCGGGGTCGTGCTCGCTCCTCCTGCGGGCGGTGCCAGAGCGCTCCCGGTCTCTCGTGTAAGGCTCCGTGGTAGAAGACGCTGTAGTTGGTACCGGTCTTGACATTCTTGAGGTGGCTGGGTTGCCCGGGTCCTGCGCTGCGCTGTGCGGTGCCCCCGGCGACGCTGCAGGCTGCGCGTTGGGGTCCCCGAGCCTGGTCGTTGCCAAGGCCAAGAGAAAACCGGCCGCAGCTGCCCATGGCATGAGGCGGTGGGCTGCCGGCATACTGGCAAGTCACAGGTGATCACTCTGACTCTTCGAGGCTGGGTGCTGCCATGCACGCAAACGGCTTGCATCGGCAGTCAGTCCCCGTGCTATCTGCTCTCTCTTCCGTCGTGTTGTATATTTGTATCGGAGAGAGGGAGCTAGTAGGAAGTGGAGTCGAGAAGGGGAGTATATATATGGTGCGGCTTCTCTGGCGGGTCTCCTTGGACTCGAGCCTTCAGGTCTGCTTCTCACGGGCACATTCCTCGCCAGCAACGCCGCTGACGGGAGTGGCCCCCGCGGTGTTCGTGCCTTCCTCTTGGAGGCTGGCGGTTTGGCCTGCCTGATGTTCTGGAGCCTGGCTTGCTTGCCTGTGGCCCATTCAACGTCTTGCTGTTCGCTGCATCCAGTCGGTCCCCGCAGCCTTGATAACTTTCCGCTCGTCGTCCAACTGCGAGTTGAACTGGCGCGGGTGCCTTGCCCCGATGGTTGGACTCAGGCGCTGTTGCGCGTTCCACCAGCGCTGGTTGCGCCATTCTAGGATATCCCTGGTGGGACTTGGGTGGCGGGCGACGTGCCCGAGCAGCTGCCACCTCACTCGCAGAATGAACGAGCTCCATCGTCCCCCGCAGCATTTGTTGCGGTACACTTCCATGCGTGCTTCCCTCAGCGTGCGCTGATGCCATGAAAGCCATTCCTCGTGGGGCCCCCGCTTGCGGCCAATGATTTCTCGAATGTAATGGTATTGACGCTATTCGCGGCTTTGAGGATGTAGTCGGATATTGGCCACGTCTCGCAGGCCCACAGTGCCGCGCTCCGTATCAGGGTGATGGAGGACCGGAGCCGGTCGTCCAGCCGCGCTTCTTTGCACGTAAGGATCTTCTTGTTTGCGTGGTATCCCCGACGCGCCCGATGTTGCATCTCGCAAACCAGTGTCCCCGGTTGATTGATGAAGGTCAGCAGGGAACCGAGCACTGGCATGGTGGATTCTGGGGGATTCGCGGGAACTGTTTGGTCCCCGATCACAAAGCCTGCGGCGCCGCTGCGGCTGCAGATCACCATCGTCTTCTTGGGGTTGATCTCAAGTCCCCGCTGCCGCAGTCGCGCCTGGGTTGCGTCGAGGCACTTCTGGATCCAGCTGTGGCATGACCCCCAGATGTAGGTGTCGTCCATGAACGCCCCGATCCCGCGCGGCGCTGGTGGCAATTTGGGATTTGGCCCCTGGCGGGGTTCTCCCCGGAGATCTTCCACAACTTGATCAATGGCTTCCCCTATCCCTGCAGAAAATAATGAGAGGGAGTCGGGTGATCCTTGGCGCACGCCGTTCGTCTGGGAGATCGGCACCGTGGTGTCCCCAACCTTGGAGCCCCTCTGTCTCTCTCTTTGTCTCTCTCTCTCGCTCTCTCTCTCTCTCTCTCTCTCTCTCTCTCTCTCTCTCTCTCTCTCTCTCTCTCTCTCTCTCTCTCTTTCTCTCCCTCTCTAAGCACCCCGGCTCAGATCGCTCTAATAGCAGAGCTTGTACATATTGGAGGGTCGCATGGCATGGAGCTCATGGTCGTTGCGTTGCGCGCCGACTCTGCTGCTGCTGACGACATGGGGAATGAGCCGGATTTCGGCCCCTGTGAGGAGGCCACCTCGAACCCCGACGTCTATAGCCGCACTAAGGCACACCATAAGATGGGAGCGGAGTGGCTGGATGGCCTTGGTTGCAACCGGCCCCTCAGGTGCTGCCGCTACACCTGCCTCCCGCTGTGGAGGCCACCTACTCCCCATAGGGGCCCTCAACCAACAGAGAGAGACCCACCCGACAGACCCAGGTGCAGCAAACCAGCCAAGCCCCACGCAAACATCACGAAGCGGCTCCCAGCACCACCACAGCCGCCACCCACGGGGATGCCCCGCAGCCACATGAACCGCAACCGGCAACGATGACCACAGCAGCGGGAACAGATGAGCCGTACGAATACAACATGCCAGCACACCAGGCCGAGGACCCAAGGAGCAAGCAAGGCACAGCAGCTAGAGCAGCAGCGGAGGCCAGAGGGACAGTGGAGACCAGCACCGTCGCCAACAGGCCCACCAGCACGGGGGCCCCCCCGAACCGCATGCAGCGGGGAGAGCCACGACCCCCCAGACAGTACAGTGCTGTCAGCCACCGCCTCCACTGAGGCGAAACAATAACCTGGTGTGCCTCTACCGGGGGAAACGGACGGTGGGACATGCGGGTCATTATGACCTCACCAGGGACCGCCCCTTTGTGGCACAAGGCACTTACCCACAAGTCCTGCTCGACCCGACCAACGCCGCCCGCCACGACCTTTACCTACCGGAAGGCGTGTCAATGCTGGCTACACCACTCGGGGACTTTGCGAGCTGTGATCGCCAAAAGTGGGACCTGACGACCTCCCTCCTCCCGAGAGCCTGGCTCATCGAAGTGGACGAAGGGCCGTCCAGGGCACCCGGCATGGAACAGCCCTTGCCAGACAGCATAGACATCAGAGGAGGGGACAGCTTCCTCATAGTCTGGGACCAAGGGGACTGGACCCTTGTCGAGCGGACAGTCGGGGACCTGTTGTTCCGGGGAGTGCTCCAAATCCCAGCCCCCCATATGGAAGTCCCGACCGAGTTCCACGGAACCCACGGGGAGCCCTCCATGCCCCAGGCGTGCCCAAAGCCAGACCCCCGCTTGCACCACCGACACCCCCCAATGGCGCCAACGACAGCGGGGACGACACAGAGCGCAGCTGGCCAAGTAGCGACGGCAGCGAAAGTGGGGGCCCGCCGGAGGAGGACGACAGACCACCACACCAACTACCGCCCAAGCAACAAGCGCACTACCACCACAGCAAGCGGGGACCCCACACACCCCTGCGCAATCACGAGCAACCGCAGCCACAACCACCACAGTACCACAACCACCACTTCCGACCGGGACCCGCCGCTAATACCCGGAGCGCAGCCTATGACGAGAAAGGAGCGGGTAAGCCACAGCAAGCCAAGCAGCAGACCCACAACAACTCCCAGGCGAAAGACGACAGTACGCATCCAACCGGTGACCCATCCCTCACTGTCCTTATGCAAACCAACTCACAGCTACAGGGCACGACCCGGCACGAGCCCCAGCAAGCTAGCGGAAGCAACCAGGAGCAACCACAACCACAACCACCACAGTACCACAACATCCGTCAGCTACGGGACCTGCTCCTGCCCACATGCACAGGCCCGACTACAGGAGGCGGGACAGGTAGCGCAACTGACCTGGTGCCCGCAGCTTCCACAGAAATCCAAACCATGGCACAGAGCAGTCATCCACCACCACGGGGTCCAGCGTGGCTTCTACCCAGCGAAGACACGCAGGAAGCTATGCTCCCAACCATCATGGCGATAGAAGCCGAAGCAGCGAGACAAGAGGGGCGGACGACAGACCACCCTCACCTTACCATAACACAAGCGGACAGTGAAAGCACTACACAACCCGCAGCTGAGCACCTGCTTCGCAACAACGAAGCCGGCACCGACAGCCACACGGCAGCATCCAGCACAGCCACCAGTGGCAGAACCCGAGCAGCAGCGGGATACCTCCCGGCGACTACTACCACCTCCAGGCACCTGCCTCAACAACCACCAGCAGCCGACACCAACCAAGCGGCAACAAACGCCGAAGAACCCGAAGCCAAGAGAAGGAGGCTTGCCGGGGACGTGGCCATTGAAGGCCCAAGTGCAGCAGCAGTGCTGGATAGAGAGGCCACACCATATATGGTACTCCGAGCCCAGCAACTCCTACAACAGCTTATGCCAACGCTGGTAGGGGACCAGATCCCCTTGGCAACAGAGGCGCCTGCAGTGGACCACGGCTCTACGGCGGGAGCCCATACAGCTTGTGCCAGATGACATGGCGGAAACCATTAACTGGGACCCGCCCGAACCGGCAGCCGTACCGCACCACGACGACACGCTCTGGCGACCAGCAGGGGACTTCACCGATGCAGACGGGGACCGGAGAAGGCACATGAGAGAGCTACGCTTGGAGGCCTTCCCAGGATGGAACACAGCGGACATCCCCAGTACTGAAACAGAAGATGAAGCGTGGGGAATCCCACGCCGCCGCCGCACAACTGCTGACGGGGGCTCGACGTCCTCTCCGATAACCAGTTTCCGCCGAAGCTCGCAACAGCAAGACCAACTGAGTGCAGCAAGTGAGGGGAGCCTCGATGAAAGGGCTACCCACCGCAGACGGCGAATGCATGCAGCATTCGACCCGAACTGAAATCGGGGAAACCCCGCACAGCTGTTGTGTAGTTCTGTAAAGGGGTCCCACTGTTGCTACAAGGGGTCCTGCTGCTGCTGTGCGTAACCGAGCTGCCGGGGTTTTTTCAAAGTGTGCGACCGACAGCACCACCACCAGCAACCACTCACGGGGCCACCGGTGCAGTTTGTGACGTTCCCCTATACTGGTAAACCTGTGCCCTTTGTTTTCCCCTCCCCCCAGGGCCACCAGTGCGGGGACCCAAGTTGTGTGATGTTCCCCTAGGCTCGTTTACCCTGCCCTGACTGCTTTCCCCCGGGACCCGCACTGGCACAAGCAACGTAGCTCCACCAAACCAGCACTTAAACTAGCGAACATGACGCTGTACGGGGGCTGCCCGATGCTGTAACAACTCTGCAAGATTCTGCAAGTACGTGACTAGGCCTTAGCTTGTTGCCTGTACTCTGCTGTATCGACACAAGAAGCTCGGGGGCCCTGAGCAGAAGCGTAGAACACCTACCCGCTTCTTGCACCAACACCTGCGTGCTCGGCCAGGCGGGGTTTCCAAGGGAGCCTCGGGGACAGGCGATGTAATCTAGGGGACACAGGGGTTTTTGGTGAGAAACCTGGCCTGACCGAATGCGACAGCCCCAGTTTCACACCGAACGCGAACAAAGGCGTAGCGCTCGCGCGCAGGGGGCGTGGGGACCCGAGCCCCACCTCCCAAACGCCATGCAAGCAAGCAAGCAAGAGGGAGAGAGAGAGAGAGAGCTCGTGCCCGGTCTCTCACCCTGACCATGCAGCGCCAGTTTTTCACGAACTTTGCATTGGTTGCTGTTGTGGGAGTTTTGCGAATCTGCAGGAAAGGGGGAGTCCAACCTAGCAGAGAGTTGACGGTCCCCAGAAAATTCACTTAGGAGTTTGTTTTATTCCTGTCTTTGTTTCACAAGACATAGGGGGACTGACACAAGCTGGCCCGTTTGAGTCTGCAATTGCCGGTGCCTCAGTCGCAGGGGGAGTACTCTCCAGAACCTTTTCCGCTGTATACAGAGTGATAGTTGAGGTGGTTTATTCACATTGGGGAGTACGAACCCTAGCACTGAACACTACAAGACAAAGCATGTTAGTGTCGGGGGAAGTCAACTAATGATCGTTCATGAGATCGGGGGTTCCTAACAGAATACCCGACACTACACGTTGATACAACGAAAGTGCATCCTCCTTGTGTTCAAACTCTGAATTCATATAGAGATGCCTTTTCACAACAAAACAGGGGGATAAAATACACATGCTTTTCTCACACCTCTCCGAAAGCCCCCACGAACAGCGGGGGGACCCGAAAGGGTCGAGGGGGCTCGCACTCCCCTCATGCCCCGGAGAGAGAGAGAGAGAGAGAGAGAGAAGAAAAAGGGTTCGAGGGCCATTCGGCAGCACGTTCAGTCCTCCCCGCAGACGTGGATTGTGCGCGAGCCTAGGGGGGTTGGCCTTCGGGCCGGGGCGCTGCTGTGCCCAAACCCCTAGCAAGCAAGCAAGCAAGCAAGCAAGCAAGCAAGAGAAGGAAAAGAGAGGGAGAGAGAGCGACAGAGAGGAAACAGACAGTCGAGCATTGATTTGCATGCAACCCTCTGCGCGCCAAGCCGGGCTAGGGGTCAAACCCTTGTATCATGTCGTGTATACTGGACCTGACGGGCGGCTGGAGCCGCACTGGTCATTAGTTAAACATGTGAAATCATTGAATACATACATATATATATATATGTATATATATAAATATATATATATATATACATAAATGTATTTTTCATAATAATACATATTCGAAGACAGTTGATGTTCGAAGTTGGTTTGATTTGCCATTTTCCCGAATTGATTAGGGATTGGGAATACGTATGTAGTCTTAACATGTGTGGTTTTATCGGGGAAAAGTTTGGTTGGTTTAAAGTGACGGGGAGAGAAAGAGAAAGCCGTGTGATGAGGCGCTTCAGTCTCGGGAGCCCTGTTCACGATGCGATCAAATATGATGTTGGGCTGGTATAGTCCTGCTGAACTTCCATATGTTTGAAACATGAAGCTTTCTTGTTATCATGCATGTCAAACACATTGTGACAGCAGCCGTGGTGGTAGGGGCGGTTATAGAGAGAGTTGCGGCGATGGCTGCCTTGCATGCCAGCACTTGCCAGTATGAACTTTCACTGAACTGTCGTTCGGCCTTTGATGCTCTCTCGGGCTGTCTGGGCTCTAACAGCAAGCAGAACGATGGGCTTGGTCACTCGGCCTTAAACATGAATGCTGCTCCCTCAAGTCTGGGCTCCGGCTGCTTCCCGGGCTCAGAGCTGTACGTTATTCCTGGTGGGAGTTCTGGAGTCTAGGGTGTCGTTTGGGAGTGGGTTTGACGGTCGTAGTCGGATCCTGTCGATTCCGGTTCTTTGCCAAGCATGGGAGCCGCTTGCGCTTGCAGCGCAGTGTCGACTCAAGATGAGGCGCGCTGCCATGTTGACCAAGTGACTCTGGACACAAGTCGTGGGCCGCAATCAAGGTTAATCTACAGTTGTTGAAGAGAGGAAAGGTGAGAAACAGAGAGTGCTAGAGAGATTGCCATTGCGGCCAGCGAGTTGTCAGATCGATTTCGGTACGCCAGCTGCAGCGCTGCAGCTGGTGAATCAGGCCGCGCCGAGGGTGCATTAGACAAAAGCCAAGTTGGTAAGCATACGTTTTTGCACCTGTGGCTTCGGGCTAGGCTAGCCATCCGCGGCTTGGGAACAGGGGCTGTTGCGAAGTTCTTTTGTCGATCCGACTTGAGACCTTTGCTTGGCCAGCCAGGAGATCCGTGAGAATACCAATGTGATCACAGCAGATGTTGCCTCAAATGTGAAACAAGCGCACGAGGAGGCTTGCGTGACATGTTGTTGAACCGAACACGGAGACTAGATAAGCTAAGCCGCTAAGCCTAGACTGTCGATCGAGCCACAGTGTACATTAGCCGAGTTCTTGCAGGCCGAGAGCAATGCTCAAAAGTCCTCGACAGGTCCGCCGATACAGTTCGCACTTTTTCAGATAGTCGTGACGCTTCACCGCGAGGCAGCGTCTTGGCACCAGGGCCGGAGGAGGCTCGCCCAAAACGCCTTTAGTTCTGGGAAATGCAAATTCCGGCGAAAGGCGAACACGCACATGACCTTCCAAGAGGCCGCTTCTAACCAAATGAGGCAATCAGAGAGCAACGGGGAGCGCATCGAAGGAGGGTAGCTTGCGCATGAACCCGGACCTGGCGACTGGGCAGGCCGGAGACACGTGAATTAAGCCAGATCTTCCGTTGCATCTCCTGGGCTTGCACTAGATGTTTTTCGTTGATGAGGGCGGGCTTGGTGATCCCTGCAGGGTATCCCACCTCAGCTTGTCCTAGTGGCGTAGCCTTCATCAATCTCCAACCCGATCTTCGAACTCGAGGTCAACATGACATTCGCGCGGATCGTGCCCTCGGAGGGCAAGAAGGCACAGGGCTTAGCGATGTAAGTGGCTGATTGAAGTGCATGGCCTGCGAAAGCCTTGTAGGACTCCTGGTCTAGCTCCGTCGATCAGGCCAGGCTTGTCGCTCCGTTGAAAAGACTGCTCAGCCACGGGATTACGCGGATTTGACCTGGGCGGTGTGGAGGGCGGTGCGGAACATTCAGAGGACGCCCGCGACTTACCCGATGCGAAGGCTGAGACTGTCGACGGGGGGGAGCCATTGCACCAGTGCCTGAGGAACTGTGGAAGGCGTTCGGGACCCGGTTTTCGCAGTGTTTCGCAAGGCTCGCGTCTCCCGCCCAGCCGTGATGCTTTGAGGCTCCTGATGAAGACATCACCGTTCCTCCCAGTGACTTGGTGGATC